AGCATGATACTCTAAATTACACTTTATTGTTTATTGATTTCGTAAAATGTTTGTCACAGAGTTGATTCATTGTATAACTGGTATAACTGCTTTTGGTTGCTAAGCCATTGATGACAGCCAGCCAAGGTTCACCAAAGTTCACCTCAACAATTCCAAACTCTCTCACTGANTCGTACGTCTCTCAGATTGCACCGTAAGCCCAAAACTCGTCCCTGGTCGTAGTAACTGTGGTCAGGTTTGGTTATTGAGCTATCGCCAGTGTTTGAGCAACTACGAACAGTTGTAATTTAGCTGTGCGTCACCCTTCATGCTTATCAAGTGGCGTCCGGCTTGGTTGTCACACGTGAATAGCATGGATTCGCCGACCAACGGATTTGACGTCCGTTACAGAGCTCGACAAGATGTAAGACTGAGGTCTGCCTTTTTTCAACACAGAAAGATTGTGGGAACAGAGGTAATCAATCCGGGTTGTGATCGGGTAACGAATAAGGTGCTCTGAACGGAATCGGATCCAACCAGAGTGTTTCTTTCTCAAGTTCAGGTGATGATTCCTCAATTCAGAATGACGGGTTCTCAAAAGAAAATTATTGTTTCTCAAATCTAGCTCAAATTGGTATACACTTCATCAACAGCATAATTTGGAGGAGGAACCACAAACCTCTGAAACTGGAAATGCAAATTTAATCTTTCGCATGTACGCAGAAATCCCATTGCGATACAGCCACCAAGTCCGATAAATTTGGAGAAATAACAAAATCACTTGAATGAATGAAGTTTGTTGCAACTGAAAATTTCCTCAATTATGACCCCAAACATTCTCAGGGTTACCATGTCACACATCGTTCATGTGGTACTTTATTGGATATAATCGATGCAGCTAACTGAATAGATACTACATCATACTCGTACTTAGAACAGGTTGTGCATCATTTACTTAAGCTATGCACAAACGGCAATCGAACGAAAAAGACAAAGTAGATGACGATCAATGACCACCGTAAGTCCGTTCGTTTTACCCTGAAACTTAATTAGCCTTGCTTCTTTTGGCTTCTTCAAATATCTCTGTAAATCAGCACACTGAAAAGAGTGATACCGATTTAGGCAGTGATTATGTTCAAACAGTTCAAGTAATCAAATTTATCTTGCAAGGATCGGTCTCGTGTGAAGCCTAATAGAAGTAACGTAACAAATTGTGACTAGACACTATATGTGAAATACAGGCTAGTTGGTGATGTAGACAGAGAATAACGATTACAGATCAGACGTATGTATCCTTGATAAAGAACAAAGATAATTCCAAGTTTGTGATTTGATTATGCCCAAATATTTGATGCGTTTCTGTTCGTAAGAATGAGCCAGTAAAATAGCAAAGCAGTTCTTATAAGCTCAGTGCCACATTAAACCGTTTTGCGAAATTCTGACTTTCCTCTTCTGCCCTTTTCCAGTTACCTAATCAGAATATAACGCGGGACATATATACTTGCTCTGGCTTCCGGTTAAACTCCTAGCCCACGAGATGACGCGTACTTTGGAGCGAC